CTTGATCCTGGGCGCCTCGACATCTGGGCAGCCAATGCAGCGTCCCTGGCCAGCTGGAAAGCCTGGCTCAGCCTCTTAGGCTTTCCCTGTGAGACAAGTACCGCCTGGTCTTGGGGAAGGCCCCAGATGAACATCTTCAACACCCATGATTCATCGTAGGTGTCCACCTTATCCAGCTCAGCCTCAAACCTACAGATGAAATCATGCATGGACTCCTCTTTCCTCTGCTTGATGTTCATCAATGCAGCCATTGCAGAATCAGCCTTGTTTGTGTTTTGGAAACGGCTGATCAGCTGCTCTCCAAAGGTCTGCATGTCCTTGGGGTCCTCCCACGCCTTCAACTTTCTCTGCCACCAGGTCTGTGCAGTTCCCTGGAGCAGAGTGGAAGCATATGCAACTTGCTTCCCAGGCGATCCTCCGACCAGATGAAAGAAATTCGACACCTGACCCAACCACACCTCCGGGTCTTTAGATGTCCTGCCCGAAAAGGTTGGAGGGTCCTTAGGTTTTATTTGGACATCAAAAATTCCAGCTCCCTTACGAGTACGCCTCCCCGATGACTCGCTCGATGATGTCATGTCAGAACTGGGCGAACGTGCATGCCGCGACCTGTGTGATCTGGACCTCTGTCGTCTTGGACGGGCGGCATGGCTGGCCTGTGCAGGGGGCATCGTCTGATCGCCAGCATCAGCAACAATTTCCAGCTCCTGCTGCAAATGCGGTGGTCGGCTGTATGTAGTTGTCGCTGGTGGTTCTGGGGGTCTCGGCACAGTCTGCTGACGAGGCTGAGAATCCTTTTGCGACCGCTCTATAGCCAGGTCCGCGGACAGCTGATCGATCCTGGATAGAGCATCATGGAGCTGCCTAGTAAGCCGCTCCACAGTCGCATCCTGTTCCCTCCTTAGCCGCTGTTCAGCATCCAAATTTCTTTGCCTCTCATGTGCCAATGCATTCTCCAGCTCTGAAAGGCGCTCCGTATTGCTGGAGACATTTCTATGCATTGACGACATAGCAGTCTCAGCCCGCCCAAATGCCTCCCTGGTCTGACCCTCCAAATGTGAAACTGCCCTCTGAGATGTATGGGCAGTATGCTATACTGCTGATGCCGTCTGATCAGCCAGCACATTCATGGCATGTGCTGTCTGAGCGGCAGTCCCTGCAATCGCCTGTGCAGCTCGCTGCTCCAAGTTCTGCATCCCCTGTGCAGCTTCGGTATTGGAGACCAGGGCACCCTCTGGGTTTCCCAAAACCACTGCCCCCGGCTCTGTCCCGGCAATCAGAATCCTCTGTTGCCGCGCCTCATAAGACGCAGCAATAACTCCTACACGTCCAGCTCCGGCGACTGTCTCCACTGTCCCGTCAATCTCCTCTACACCATCATGGCCCTGCAGCTCCATCATATCATGATCCGCCATGATCCCACCCACGACACTGATCCGATGATCAACTGTACTGAAACTAAGTCAATCGGGTAGACCTGATCTCGGGCTACTGAAAGTCCACTGAATCCTATCCCCAAGTAGCCAAGTAGCCTTTACCTCCCAACTTAAGTTATCCTGCTTCTACTGGTTTTCAGTAATCACTTTCACACACAGTTACCCCCAGTACTCTGCAGGGTGACCTCTCGGTCCACCTGGTAACTTTCCAAAGGGTGCGTCTGTGGCTACTAATGAAAACTTAGTCCCAGCTTCAGCCGAACAACCTAAGAAGGTGTCCCTTGCCTAGGACGAGACCGCTGTAAGAGGTCTGGGTTGGCCTATGGCACCCCCAGCCTGTCTAATATTTTAAGACTCAGCCACCCAAGGTTCCGAAGGGGTGACTGGCCTGTCTACCTCAGGTGGGCAATGGCCTCACCCTCTGACCGGTTCCAGGGGAGATGCCTCCTCTAGGAGGTAGCACTCTGGACCCAACTGGGCCTGCCTACTGCCGTGCTCAATCTCCTCCCCCTTCCCCTAGCCAGGCCCCCAATCTCGTGGCAGAGCGGTCTGGTGGTGACCTGCCTGCAGTACCTGCAAAATAAGGTGAAACAGCAGATATCCCCTACTTCTAGAGCGGGACCTTTACCCCTATTCTACAGCGGGTGGCACCTGAGGTTGACTGAATCTTCCAAATGCTGGGTGCTGGCCTTCGCGTGTTCGGCTACACGAAGGGCGCCTGGCGCATGCACTGAATTTGCTGCTGAATCCGCTGGCGAATCTGCGGATCTGGCGATCGCTCGGCACCGTCGATCCCCGAACACCAATCGTTCAACGAAAAGCTCCTCAGGCTCCCTGAACAAACTCCCACAGGCACACAGCACGGCGATTCAGCACCCGCGGAGGTGCTGAGCGCTGCCTGGGGTGTTGGAGGCTTCTGGAATCCGCAGCCCTGTCAGGCCGCGTGGTCACTATGGGTTGCTGCGCCTCTCGCTCAGCTCCCGGCTCCGGGCTTCGCGCTCCGAAACCAATTTGTTGCGGCCCCGTCGGCAGCCGCTGGTTTCCGGAGTCGTGGGGGTCGCCCTGCCCTGCGGTTCGGCTGTTGGAGGTCAGCCGGCGCTCTCCACCTCGGATGGTGGGCGTATCCGGGGCAGTCGCTTCCTTGGTCGCGCGGTGGGCCCAATGCTCGACGGGGATCGATTCCCGGGGCCTGCTGTCGGCGAGAGGTGGCGGCGCAGCGGTGTGGTGGTTCGCTGGCTCGCGGGAGGCCAGAGAGTGGGCCAAAGATGTTACACGGATTCACAGCATGCGCGCGCACATATCGCATGCGCGATGCCCGATCGCGGGTCCATCGCGGTCACATCAAGACAAGACAAGTCAATGTGCGCATCCAGGCACCAAGTCACCGCCCACCATTCACCTACGATCGACTTAATGTCCTCTAATTCCAAGCATCTAACACCCGACCCTATGGCCCCAAGTACTACGACTTCAGGAGGCCATATCTTCGTCAATTCTTAACGGAATCGGGCGTTTAAAAGCTCGTTGGAACCAGAAAGCTCTTAATAACGTCCCCAAAAGGTTTATTTACCCCATTTACGTAATTCCCACTCCAGAAATGTCAAATAAGCCTAAACCCCAAGCAGCCACGTCACACTCCCCCCTCAGTCCCTCTCCTATGTTGTTTCGCACCCAGCCCTCCACCCTAGAAAGTGGAGTTCGGTTGAGTTGTGGGAGAGAAAGGGATGGTGTGGAAGAAATTATGGAAAAGGGGGTTGACTCAGGGCCGAGTCACATGAGAAAAGTGAAGTGAAGTATGGGCGAAGCGAAAGGGCAAATTGTTAAGTATGGGGACCTCGGGTATTTGGAGTTGTCGGTGGCAGACACCTTTGTTGTAATGTCTTGTCATGTGGGAAACATGACCGGGAGGGTTCAGGAGATTGGTCAGGTGGAAACGAGTGTGTGATGCACCACCGGGCAGTGCCCGGCGGGCACCCTCCGAGGTGGCGGTGAGCCGTGTTGCAATCCCTTTGCTCCGGGTTAACACTGCGCAGTGATGGTCTGTGCCCCACCATTATGCGTGGGCGATGATGCTCTGATGGTTGCGGCAGCCGCCACCCACAATGCCTTTTCCTGTCTAGTGGGGGCTTCCCACATTCGGCGGATTGGAAACAAAAGGAACCAAAAGTACGTAGCATTGGAAAGGCCTTGCTGGGTGGCGCCAGGCTGGCTCCACGGGCACGTCTTGGTCAGGATCAGAGCGACCACCGCACTGGGCTGCAGTGGTAGGGAATATATGTTTGGTGACCACCTTCCCAACCCCAAGTTCCTGACGCCTGTGGGCCCATTGCCACCACAACGGGCGCTCAGGCAACCAGTTTGAAGGCGGTACCTCGAGGGCCGCGCTCCGGAAGCACTTTTCCGGGACCTTTCCGGGCGATTTTGCGCTTTTCTGGCCGCTGGGGACCCGTCGGCCGCATTTTTCGCCCGCCTCCAGGCCGTCCGTTTCCAGCCTCCGGGCCACGTCCCCAGACCCGTGGGGACAAAGGCGCTGCCCGTTGTACGCTGAAGCACCGCCGCCTTCGCACCCGTCGCTGAACTCGTCCGGAGCCCCGATCATTCTCGGAATCCCGCAACACTAGCGGGGTGCCGTCCGCCCTGCCAGCAGCAGAGGAGGCCGTGAACGTTTCGAGCGAGCGGGCTCTGCCGCGCGCCACCTTCCCATCCTGAAAGCCCCGCAGCGACGTCCCAGCGCAACGCCGCGGCGAAGTTTCAAAGGCCCGGTTCTGGGGCGCAAGCAGCGCGGAGCGGAGGGCAAAGGGAACGGGCGGTCTTGGCTGGGAAGAAGACCGGCCTGGGGAGCCCTTGCCCGGCGGAGGGAGCGTGCTGGTCGGTGTGCAAGTAGGCGCGTCGGCCCTTTGGCGCCCAGGGGAGGGATCCATGGCTGCCACAACAGAGTTCGAATTCGAAGACCTGCTTTTCGCAGGGCAGCATGGCGACGGGCCCAGCCCGCGTGCTGGGGATCGCGGAATGGGTCTGCCCGCGAGGCAGGAGGTCGAACGGCGCGCGCTGGAGCTGCCACACCGTAGGCAGATGTCCGCGCTGTCGGCGGCTATGTGCGGGGAGTCCCTGCAGGCCTCGTCGCTTGATCAGCCGCATGAGGTGCCCGGGGAGGAGCGCGCCGGTGAGCGAGGGAATGGCGTGGAGGGATTGAGCTCTGCCAGAGCCCCCTTGGGCGGCGAAGCCGCTTCAATGGCCGATCAGTCAATTTCGCATTTATGTGGCGTCCCTATGACTGGATTCCTCTTGGTGCTGTATGCATTCCTGACGCAGGGCAGCACCTGTGGCTGCTTGATTCCGAGCAAGTGCCCCTGTCCTTGGCCCTGCCCTTGCGCGCTTTGCCCCTGACACGGAACCCCGCTGACAACCTGATGACCACGAAAAGACTGTATTCCCCCGATCCCCAGCGGCGGCTGCGGCATTGACAGGTGTCCTGAGAGACCGCGGTGAAGAGAGCGGCCTGGTCAGTGGCCAACAGCAGGCCCAAGGTCGTAAATTGTCACAGAACACAGCTTCCTCTCTGAGATGTGTGGGCAGGAAGCCGACTCACCAAGCCTGGGTGGCGTTGCCCTGCGGGGCTCGTGGAGCCTGGCGATCGTGATTACGCGCTGTGCTGCTTCTCTTGCCAGTAGCTGTCAGCATTGTTGCGGTTGCGAGTGGGTTGATTCTGATTGTGATTTTGCGCAAGTAGATCAGACACCAGTGGTTCCTACGAGCACGGCAGCCAGGCGCGCAACAATAGCCTCTCTGTCAGAGACTCTGCCCGGCGATCAGAGCCCAAATACCAAGTGGTCCTCCCTGGAGAGCTCGCGCCCACTCAGGCTGGTGAGTCCTTTCTGCTTTGGATCCAGGAGCGCCTCAAAATGTGCTGCTGGTCGATGTCACAACCCCTCCAAAGATGTTGCACACATGCAGCCACAAGCGCTTCCAATCTATGGTGAACATTGCTGTGCTGGTCAGAACTCCACGGACCTCTGCATGATTTGAACGATGGCAACATTTTCTTTGGCAGCATATCTGCATTTGTTCACAAACGTCCAACATACCCTGGCTGTTTCAGCAATAGGAATCACTGCTATGCTGAAGAAAGTTTCCACATTTCTGTTCAGGAGAGCAAAGCAGTCAGCATCTTGTTCCTCAAGAACAAGGGGAGTGTTGCTATTGTATGCAACAGTAAAGATTCTGGCTAGGTTTATTGACGATGAAGTGTGAACTTCATATCATGTTGAATGGTGTCTGGTGCCATTTAGGGGAGCTCCGCCCCAGTCTGCATACCTCACAGCGGCCACCTGCGGTTGCGGACACACGAGGGATTGTCAGAAGTAGAAGAGGAGGAACAGGACCAGCCAAAAGCCACCACTTTCGTTCCACCCCACTTGATGGTGGACAAGCCAGCCATTCAATTCTCGCTGCACGGAAGTACTGCTGAAAAGAAAGCCAAATTGAGGGCCAGGAACACGATTCTGCAGATGACTGGCTTCCTGGAGCCAGCAAAGTCTGAAGACAAGGCTTGGAACCATGGAACGGAAAGAGCGATCAAGGCCCCAGGAGCACTGGCCAGAGAGTTCGGCGCGAGCAAATGTGAGCCTTTAGAAAGTGAGCAAGGTTGATGCTGAAGTCTTTGAGGGACGGGATTTGATTGCCGCAGGGGAATATGAAATATTTCTGGTTGAAAAAACGATTTGGCAAGAACTTGCAGCGGACATGGGCATGGTGCCTGTGCTGTGGTGGACTCCTGCGAGAATTGGAATCACCAGGTAATAACAGCAGCAAGTTTAGGGAGTTGTTGAATCATCGATGCTGTTTTACACCAGTAGGCAACTGCCACTTACTGCTTTCGGATTCAGCCTGGGAGCTCGCTGGTGTGACATGGTGCTGTGGTTTGCAACCTTGCCACAAAAATATGTCTAGGTGGGAAATGCGAACCTGGTCTGAAATTGCCTGCAAAATTTGGTTGGGAAGTCAATTGTTAACTTGGGAGTGGCTTTGGGTTTCACGTGTTGAGAGTGTTGAGACAAGAGGATTATTGTCAGGCAGCCAGCGTGCGCCAGAATGTGAGCCTGCTTAACAGTTGCACACATTTTTGATTATTTGGGACTTTAGAATGTTGTCTGCTCTTTTATCCGTTGGGATGGGTGTTTCGTCTTGCAGCTTGCATCAGCGCACTTGAAATGGACCATTTGTACTGATAGGCTAGTTTGCTTTGTCCGAATTGTAGGTCTGAAGTTGTATTAACAGATATGCAGGGCATGTTCGCGAACGAAGGCACCCCAGTTGTGTTGTTGACGACGCATGGAGCGACTGGGTTTGACATCCAGTCGCCCTCTCTGCAGCACCCTGCCGATGTAGCTGTGCTCAGCGTTGGCCACTAGCAGGCGTTCCAAGTTCTCTCCCATGGCCAAGCAGGCTGTCACCACAGTCGATCAGAACGGAGTGGATGTGCTACATGTGACGAATAGAAATGTTCTCTTGGCAATGAACGGCAGGAGAATGATTGCTGCAGTGGCTCTGCCACCATTCCGACAGATGTCTCCGAGATAACTTTCATGTAGTTTTCAACCAGGAGGTCGATATCACGATGCTTGCCTGTGACCACTCGTTGTGATCACTCTCCAGTGGCGTTCTCATTGTGATGTGTGCACCAGAGCACTTGCAGATACACGCGGAAGCTCAAACCTGCGAGAGAAATGTAGTTGGGAAATACAGCAAGGGTACCACAGGAACGACGGCATTCAAGTTACGAGGCTCTAACGATAAGAGAACGAGTTCCCATCAAGGAACGGTTCATTCCCATCCATTTTGGTGGGTGACTTGCGGCCACCCACCATACAGTACAAAAGCCTGAACTTTCTCAGCAGCGCAAGGATCCAACGGTCAACGAAACGCTTCCAACCAACCAGCGGAGCGTGGCCTGGCCAGTGTTTAGACGATTGGTTCATTGCCCAGGAAAACGGTGTGCTCCAAATGTGCCGCAATCCCCCAGTGTAATCCAGCCAACAGGATCTCTGCGACTTGTTGCTTTCAAGCTACAGCACAATCCCGTGCATTCTACGCAAGCCATCCGTGCATGCTTGATACTCGACTAAATGCCTCCGCACCATGGCTGACCACCTCGATGCTTGGCATGGCCTGAGTATGCCACCAGAGCAGTCACAGAAAAGGTGCAAATATGCACTATGAAAATGGCACAATTTTGGCCACTGGTGCACTGGTTAGCTCTCAGTATGTGTGCAACAGCTGCAGCGATGCCCAAGCTTACGAAGAAACTGGAAAGACTTGATGTTCCATGCCCTCACTCCTCCACAGCGCACCATGTTGCTGAGGTAGAACGAATCGAGATGCATGCGGGCCTCTTTGGCGACCCCATGGTATGCATGGCAAAGTCAGCAACCCTGGGCTCAGCACCATCACCACCGAGGTAAGGCCGATGCCCTCCAGCTCTGGGCGATATTAAATTCCGCTTGTCCACCCTTTGCTTCAAAGGACTCTAGACAGAGCGAAACAACATGCTCCAAAGAGTGCACGTTCTAGTCCACCAATAATTTCACCCGGCTACACGACTGATCAGTTCGCCAGTGTTTTCATCGTCACTTATCCATGATACTTCTGCTTGAGAATAAGTACGTTGTAGGCATTGGCGAGCGCTCACGCACAATCCTGGTCGATTTCCGTTTCTTTTGCCGTTGGATGTTCCAGTGACTTTTTCAGTGTCACAATGCTCAACACATGGTTGAATGTGCATGCGCTCCGCCTCTCGCCGCCGCTGTCATGGATGCAAATCGTCTCCTGTCGTCTCCTTTGCTGTTGAGCAGCTCACCGGCGGAGAGCTGAGCAAGGCTTGCTGCTCGGTGTGCCAATATCCTTTTCGCTTACCTTCGCAGCTCCAATCTGGCCCGCCTCTGCTCTCTCTGGCCTTTGTCGGCTTCCTCATGCCGTGCAAAAGTCGCGCAGTGAGTGCATTGAAACTCGACAACTATCGAGGGTTTGGGGATGGTGACAGCATGACACGGATGGATTCGTATGCAATACAGGGACATGGGGCTGGACGCAGCGCGGCGAGGTCATATATGTTTTCGACTATCGAGGTGGAATGGCGCGACCACGTTGGAATTGCCTAAGCGATGAACACACACATAGCGGCAGCCAAGGCAACTAACCTTGCAAATAATGGTTTAAGTGCTCACATAAGTGCTGCACAAATGGCTGGATGCGCCCTGAGAGTATCCCACACCGAGTACATTGTACAAGCACATCTTCTCAGGAACTCTCCTGGTCCCATCACCTGTCAACTATGTCAAATGCATTCTATCAAGTGCTCTCATGTCAACAAACCAGGGTTTGGAGGGCTCCAATCTTCCCCGTTTCACAAGCAAAATCGCTTCACTGGAATGATCCTGTATCCTAAGAAAACCCCTGTACGGCCAATGTCAGTAAATGGCGGGACAGTAATCCGATCATTCCTCACCGTGTCGTGGTACTACATTCACAGTTGTCCCATGACTTTGAATCGTTAGTCACCGCTTTTCTGTGCTTATCATAAAACGTGATCATACTGTGACCATGGGCACAGGATGTCGCTATACACCATATTCGTTTTCATTTCACTTAAAATTTAATCATCAAGGAAGTCCGTGCCTTGGAACCGTTGTATATTAATGAGAGCATATTTAGAATCAGTGTTTCATAGTACAGCTAGAAATTCTGCATTTAGATGACTGCACAAATTGTACATTCGCCCAACACTTTAGTACTTGCCAAGAAGGTCGTGGACTTTAACCAGGATGGTGCACGCCACCAGTAATGCCACAATGGCCTTGAGCATTTATTTGCATGCCAGCCTATTTTCAATACATCTGCCTGCGCTGACCTAGCTCCCGTGAAGTTGGCCAGCCTTACAGCAGTACCTTTGCCTCTTGAGAACATTTCTGTCACGGGAAGCACCCCACACAAGCCATCAGATGGTTAGAAAGGGGCATCTACCTTGATTGCTCAGTTTCCCTTACATTCCTCAAGCCCCATGGCAGTAACTTTGCTTTTTCTGTCGAGGCCAAATGTGCTATTGACCAGAAACACGCTGCGTGCTTCATTAAAGGCTGTCGACTTGTTCACAAGGCATTTGCAATCCTGCCGCATTCTTCTGTCGCTTGCTTATTACAAGTGTAGGCGTTGCTAATTAGCAAGGCTTACTGACTGTGCTTGCAAGCCACATGATTGCACGATAGCGTTGTTTCACCCAGCGAATAATTATGTTTCAGACAAGCGTCCCACATAAAGACGACCGGACGGTTGCGCTTCTGAATGTTCCACTGCTCATCGAGGGCCTCTCGACCCCCGTGAGGCTGTTCCATAGCACAAACAGTATCCTCGCCTGCTTGAAAGGCGTGGGGGAGGCCCGGGTGCGGTGGGCACCAGGAATGGTTTCTAATAATATTGGGCAAGTCCACTCTGTGAATGTCCGGAATCGAGTGATGGGGATCTCGAACAGATGCCCATTGGTCGTTCCGGCGCTAACCATCGTCTGCAAGGTGATGCAAGTGCTTTGCTTGCCATGGTTCTGCGGACAGCTGCAATACAAAGAAACACGTCGTTCTGCAGAGTACGTGCCTGAAGGAACAGGACACATTTTCCAGGTCCTTCACGAACTTTCCAAGAGTGCGGATCTTTCTGTTGTGGTGCTTGGGGCTGACTGATTCGACCACAGACTTAGGTCATGGGTGTTTGCATAAAATTTGTATGCGCGAATCGATGCAGGATATGCAATAGGGATGCCAGAGTTGGGTCAACCGATTCTTGGCAATATATTGAACTCGCCAGCAGCAGCAAAGGATGCAGCGCACATTAGAAGATCTTTAGTTCCTTTTCGATTGTGGGGGCAAAACTAGGAGATTCTCGAAGGGAAGAATGCCGTCACTTTCATGGGACAACGGCATACTTCCGGCCTGCACATGCAGTCTGTTCATGTCCATTGCCCATGGGACATAAAATTTAGGCTGCAAGTCCTATGCAAGCATGGGACGTAATGCCCAAATTTGATGCCTGGTTGGATAGGCGTATGTAGTAGCTGAGTCCACGGGTTTTTGAGCAAATTTTGTGCAACGGCTTCACCACCAAACCGCTGGTTAGGTGGAGCTTGCATGCTGCCGTGAAGACCAACCATGGACGTGCAGGGAGACCCTCTGATGTGACGTCAAGGCTGGCCGCTTGGGGCTCTTGGATTCTCGTTTGGCAAACATGTGATAGATATTGCTCGAGTTTTCCGTCGTTCTTCAAACAACTATGGGTGCTTGATCCTGCTAGACCGCGGGTGGGCCGCCCTTCACAAAACGACTGGTGACGGGTCGCGGCCAAGCCACGCAGCCACGCAGCCATCGCACCAGTACTTTACCACAGCTGCTGCGCCTCTCGGCCCCCTGCAGCCTCTCCGCGCGCCCGGTCCCGCAATGGGGTAACCATAACGTGCCCTGTGCGGGGATTGTCCAGCCGTGGGAAGGCCGCCCGAAGTTCGATTCCCATTGTTACCCACAAGTTGACACACACACTCGTGGCGGCCCCTGCCGCGGGTCGCGGTTGCCCACCCCCCGCCGTCGCGCACCCCCGCCCCGTGCCGGCCGCGCAGCCCTCCATCATGATGCCCGACCTGGCGCAGCAGCAGTCCGCCAAGCTCGTCCTGCTGGGAGAGATGGGCTCGGGGAAGTCCAGCCTGGTCCTGCGCTTCGTGAAGGGTCAGTTCTTTGACTACCAGGTGACTTCTCCCACGGCTCCTTCCCCCCCCCGCCGCCCGGGAGATCCGATCGCAGCGAGGGCCGCGATCGGTGGGCCACCGCCGGCGACTCGGAGTCCGCGAACAGAGGGCGCCTCGCCGGGCCTTCCGACAGCCCGAGCGCGCATGCCGCCGTCCTGACGCCCATGCGCTCTGTGCGGGGCGCGCCCGGCCGCAGGAGTCCACCATCGGCGCGGCGTTCCTCACCAAGCCCCTGCCGGAGTACAACGTGAAGTTTGAGATATGGTGCGTGAGCGCGAGGGTCCGGACCCTCCCGGGCAGACCTCCCTTGCGGGTGGCGTCCCGAGGATGGCAAGGCCGGCGCGTGCGCTGCGCTGCCGTCGCCCGCTGTGGCTGCCGCCGGCGACGCGCCCCTGCTGACCTGGCCCCCGCTCGCTCCATCGCAGGGACACTGCCGGGCAGGAGAGGTACCACAGCCTGGCGCCCATGTACTACAGGTAATCCGCTCTGCATGCCGCTTCCCCCCGACGCGCTGCGCCCCCTTCCGCGGCCTTTCAATCACGGGCCTTGCGCTGCGATTGCCAGGGGCGCGGCTGCGGCCATAATCGTGTACGATGTCACATCCGCGGATAGCTTCGTGCGAGCCAAGAACTGGGTCAAGGAGCTGCAGCGGACGGGCAACGCGAACATGATCATGGCGCTGGCAGGTGGGAATTGAGCGCCTGACGGTACGCTGCTTTGGCCGGGCGGTGTCGGTGGACAAAGGCCTGGGAGGTATTTGGGAGAAAACCTCAGTGGTGGGGCTTGGCTGGGCCAGCAGCGAGGGCCTGGGATGATCACCGCTGTGTGTCAGGCAGCGGTGCAAGGGTGCTATGCGGAGGTGGCTTGCCACCCCGGCGGTATTTGCACCACTGGAGGCACCCCATGTCTGTTTCAAGCCTTAGCGGGCTGAGCTTGTTTGCCTGTGAACCATCTGCTGGACACAGTGCCTGATGAGGCGCAGATGGCCCGCTTGTGTTGTGGTCAGTGCTTCCAAACTAGCTCGCCATCGCATGGGGACTTTTGTGTGGCCTTGTGTCATAGACGACGTCCGTCTGTGTTTCCAGGAAACAAAGCTGACTTGGTCAAGGGCGAAAGCAGCTCCAGGCAGGTGCCCACTGAGGAAGCACGGCTGTATGCCGATGAGAACAGTTTGTTCTTCTTGGAGACGTCAGCCAAGGAAGCCACCAACGTTGATGAGCTTTTCGAGGAGATTGCAAAACGTCTGCCAAAAGCTGAGGTCCCAAGGCAACAGTCAGGCAGCCTGCCATTGGAACAAGTACAACCAGCACGATCTTCTGCTGGCAACTGCTGTTCCTAAAGTTTGTTGCAGGACTTCGTATGGGCGGCCTGAATGCTCCATGGTGATCTCATCAGTGGAGGAGGGTTTGGCAGAGGGCGCCATGGGAATGTATCCCCTTTTTTACCATGACAGTGCTGTGTGTCAACATCGCCTTTGTCCTTCCTTCATGCAAGCATCAGCGTCGATGCCAGTGCTGGGAAGGTCAAGGCATCTGAGGGTTGCTTTGGAGGTGCCGTCTCAGGGTGTGGAGCAGTTCATGCAAACCTCATGATGCAGGTGTCGACATGTACTGCTGCTGTGCATCGCCACAGCTGACACCTCATAGCACAGGCTGCCATGGGAGATTGTGGCGATGGATTATGAGGGAAGGAGGACTGGCTGTGCTGGGAATCATATGATGGTGCCGTTTGGCAGTCAGTCTCACACAATCAAATTGTTGCCCATGTGGATGTTCTGGGCGCACCTGTAGGACTGGTGCTGCTGGGATGGATGGTACCAAATGGCCTTACGAACACCCTGGCCGTGATAAATGGGTGGAAGCAAGTGTACAACTGACCAATGGAACAATGTTGGCTGCTGTGCTGGATATTGATTTGTTTTATTGTAGAATTTTTTAAAACACAGTTGGGCTGGGCAATGGAGAGGCCATGCATAATGGAGGTGCGGACAGCTGCAATGGCAGGAGACTGACTTTGCATTTGACACACCTTGCGGGAGCGATTGCAAAGGCTACTTTGGTGTGCTGGAGTGGCCATGCAGGTATTGGGACTGCCATGGACCTCATGGTCAGGGGATCGCTTAGGTTTCAAAACCTACAGAGCTCACTACTCAAGCTAAGGATATTTGAATCGGAGATGCTTTCTCAGCTGACTAGTCAACAAGGAGACACCTCCAGACAGTGACTAAATGCACATCCCCCGTCCAAACACGAATGCTTGGCGGGAACCGCCTCGAGGACAGTTCGAAATGGCCTTGAGGCCGACACTCTTTGGCAGTAATGCGGCATTTGATGTGGGCAATATTTTGGGGCAAAACGGTTGGGCTTAGTCCAAATAAGAGGCTCGACCTAGCACAAATTGATGTTCGACCTAGTCCAGCCATATGGAGCACAAATGTCCAATACCCTTCATTTCCAGAGATGAAGGTCGTGAAGGCGTTATCAGATTTTTTTAGAACGTTTTTATCGGGATTTTATAACTTCTGGTGTGGGGGATCGGTTTCGTGAAGCAATTTTCGAAAACGGGGAACGTTGCATATCCTACCTTTTGGCAATCTGGAATAGCGCACCGCAACCGTCATTTTCACATGAGAAACCGGTTGATGCGACGGTGAGGGCTGGTGTACACTTCTTGCAACATCAAGTCTGGTGCTGTCTCATAAGCTCCCGGTAATGACCGCCGAGGTACACGGCCCAGATAATTGTAATTGCAGGAAATTGTAACGTGCAATGACTATAACAGGAGGTGGCTGCTTGTCATGCCAATCACCTTAGCACATTGACTGCCCGGGGTTGCACCACCTCCACGTTCCTGGGTGACGCAAAGTGAAGTCTGCCGGATGAACGCTGTGTGGCCACACTCTCCAAGCATGGGCGATTGCGGGCCACAATGATGAAGATACAGTAATGTATTGCCACAACATCCGGTGCCCACCCCACGACATTAGTACCGGACAGTACAACAGCGTCCGTTCCACTGGGACCGAGGTGTTAAGCCCCAGGCTCGTCTCGACGGTCTTGTGCCTCCCACCCCGCCCAACGCGTCCCGCCCCCTCCGCGCGGCGAGCGCTTGATGTCAGAGCCTCCGGGGACGCACGCCGTCAACGCCTTCTTCCAGTTTTCCTTCTACTTCGCCTCCCTCGCGATCATCACTGCAGTCGTCAGCAAGACATCGCTGCACGTGGTGCCCCAGGTGCCCGCCCGCCCGGCGCTCTCACGGGGCTCATGGATCCTCAGCGCCCGCCAGGCATGCTGCCCGAGCTTCCAGCCTCGGGCAGTAATAATTCAAAGGGCTGAAACTGCGTTCAGCCGTGGAGCTAAGTCGAGGAGGGTATTCCCGCCCATGCCATGAACCTCTGGTTCCTTGCATTCCTTGCATCGACGACTCTGACGTCGGGGTTGCCCCGCGATGACTCCCGTGTCTTTATTCTGCCGCAGGGCCATGTGTGCCTCTATTTCAGGTTCGGCATGCTCATGCCGCGGATCAGCGAGCCGGGGATGCGCATGCGGCTTCCGGTTGTCGACGTATGCGAGTACATTAGCTTCAGGATGCAAGCACTGCCCGTCGGCAACCTCAGCTGTACCACGCGGGGCGGCACGAGCGTGCTGTTCGATCGAACGGAGGTGCGGGGTTACAAGGGAGGGGCTGCGCGGGTGGCCGTCGAGCGCGAATGTCGAGGTCGTGCGAAATGCGCAAACGGAGAATTGAACAGGCGCTCCGGGTGCGGGGCGGCCCAGGACCTGGAGGCTTGCGAGGGCATGGTGCAAGGAGGCGTGGGGAAATGTCCCCAGCCTTGAGACCCTCTCGATTGTTGGGGCTGGTTGCTTGTGCGTTGTTCTGGGTGTCCCCGCCCCGCCGGCTCCAGGGTTCCGTAATGGGGACCGTGCTGTTTGGTTTCAGCGGCGCTTCTGCACGCAGCTCGCTCAAAACTTGTTTCAGCCCCTTTCCAGGACCGCAGATAGTTTGCTTGCGTGAAAAGATTATGCATCCTACAGGTAATGAATGGCCATGCTTGGTTCGTTTTTGGTGCAATGTTGGGGCCAGACTGCTGTGGAAACCGAAGACGGAAGGACCAGTGGTCCAGGCAATCAATGTGCGCACTGTTTTGCTCAAAGGAAGGAACCATGGGCTCTCACTTGAGCTGCAGGACATCTGCAGCTCAAAGGAGGTGTTCATGCATAGGATTGGTTGAAGTCAACGGAACTGTTGCTTGGCGATGTGCACTCTGAAGCCACCAGTATCATACCATTGTATGAATATTCCTCACTGGCCTGACTTCCATTCTGCTCTGCAGGTGCTGTTCCAACTGGAGAAAAGCCGCATCCATGAGACCGTGCTCAACTATGGGACCAAGTACTACCTTACAATGATAAAAGACAAACTGCGTCAGGAGATCGGCGTTTTGTGCAGCAAACTGACGTTGCAGGAGCTGTACATGGAGAAAACTTTCGAGGTGACTGGCCCAATCTATGTGTCTGCAAGATAGCTGTAACAATTCCATCCAGGGTTTGTTGCAATGGGTGCGTGGTATTTTCATTTTAGCAAAGCAGGAAAATGGGGAACAATAGGCACCCGCCTGTAGAGCATTTTGTGGTTGAGCCACTTTCCCATATACTAGAGGATGCAGAACTCCATTAACAAGTTAATAAATTCTCCACTTAGCAAGCAAAATTGTGAGTTAGATATAGAACACTGAGTTTGGCCGCGCATGTGTACTGTACTTATCAATTGCGTTCTGGGATGGGAAATCCAACATTCCCGTTCCCCAACCCCACCCCACCTTGCCCCACCACCCATGGAATAGTTTGCATTTTGGACAGCTGAAGACATTCAGAATACCAACAGAAAATGTGGCTCGTTTCGTGGCAGATGCTGGTGCATGGGTCCTGCAGCCGCTGATCTTGTGAACTCCCTATTCTGCAGCTGCCAACCCTGCTTCAGGATGTCCTCACATCATATTTCGCCGAGAATGCTCCAGGAATCGTGCATCTGGGCGTCCATATCAGTGGTCCTATCATACCAGATCGCCTACGACAGCAATTCGAGGCCTTGGATGAGGAACGCACGAAGGTGTTGATCGCCCAAGAAAAAGTCAAGGTGCAGGAGCTGGAGCTGGAGATGCTCAAAAGGAAGGCTGTGACAGAGGTGTGTCCAATGGGCTTTTTGTGATTCGCAGTCAGAAGTCTTCTTCGTTTCATTTGCGAGCACCTGACAGAGCATAGCCCTTGCATTTGCAGGCCAATGTCAAGTGTTATTTGCCCCTGCTGGTTTTGTTTCCACAGTGTTATGATTTCTCCATCACCATCAAAGAACACCAAGTAATTTATATTTTGGCCACAAGTCAATTCCTGTGAAAGACTGTGGGGTAAGAACTGTGTTTTCTGCAGGTTCTGTTTGTCACGGAAAATCTGGGGATCCGAAACGAACTGCACAGCAGTGTCATTAGAGGAGATTTGCTCCATTGTGTGGCAGCAGAGCCATCCGTACATTGCATTTGAATTGCTCAAAGCCAGATTGTGTTGAGTAGGCAGAGATCGAGGTGGAGAAAGGAGAAATCGTGACACAGCGATGGAGGGCACAAGGAGATGTGACGAGGGAACAGCACGCATTGGAAAACGAAATCTTCCTTTCCCAAGAGAAGGCAAAGGCAGAGGCACTTCGCATTAGGTACATACATGAAGAATGAAAATCCTTTACGCAAAGGAATTTCTGCAGTGAGGAATTGAAATGCCATGATTGAGCCCCACAGTGCTGAACCAGTAGTGCGTTTTCAGTGTTTGTCCATGCAAGTGCACACAGCTGCAGCCTCAAGCCAGTCAGTCCCTAGGACATTGACAAGCCAAACACTTCAGCTCCTGCCCATCCCAGGCTGCCAATGGTCCATGCAGCAGTGGGCTGCTGCATGAGCCTGGGAAAGGGACACTCAATTTCTGCTTGGGTTTCATTTGTTCAACAGGGAGGGCGTTGGTTATTCGCTTCTGCCAGAAGCATTGCAGCCAATGCGCATAATGGGTGGCGGAGGTGTGAAAAGGCTGGTGGTTGATGGGAAAGGGTATTGGGTTCCGTGTTGCGTTGTAGATGTGGCTACCATCACAACATGCTTATTAAGCCATGGGGCGATTGTGCAGCCCATCCATTCTAAGTTGTCTTGAAATGTTTTGCAGGGGGGAGGCAGAAGCCAAGGTGAACAGTATGAAGCTCACCCCAGAGTATCTCCAACTCGCAGCACTGCAGGCGCTTGGCAGCAATTCGAAATGGTTTCTGGGACACAATTGGACTTCTGTGTTGCAACAACAAGGGTGAGGTGCACCTGCAGTGCTGCATGATGCTTGCAACTCCAGTGCATGCAGGGTGCTGCCGACTGATTGTTGATGTCTTCACTTCATGATTCTCACTGGCATTCATGGTGTCAGTTGTGCGCGAAACTGCACGGATGTCTGTTGTCGCGTTTGGGGGTAGCTGCTAATTGTGGAAAGGACCAACCATACGGGGGGATTGTTACTGCGGCCCTGTGGCCAACTGCTGTATGCAGATGTGCCCTACAACATGCGGGCAACTCTACGTGCCATGAATGATGGTTGCACACAACGTGCCTTTTGCTCGGTTGTACTCCACCCGACATGCCAGGTACAGATAGCAATCGAGCCTAACTAAAATGTGGGTAAGTAACAAAAGGGGGTCCTTTCCGGGATATCGTAACAGAAGGGGTAGCTCAGAGGCAAAAAGGGGTCGTCAACGTAATTTAAAGTGACAAAGGGGGTCCTCTGAACCTAAAACCTAAATCCTAACCTAGACCCTAAATCGTAAAACTTGGCAACGCAACCAATGTACGGTGGACGCTCACAGGCCCCCATTTGTCATTTGCAATTACGTTAAAGAACCCCTTTTGTCTCGTAGGGCCCCCTTTTGCCACGATATCCTGCAAGGGACCCCCTTTGTCATTTCCCCTACAATGTGCTTTCCTCGCTATTAGCGGCTGCAATGTTGTGTTTGCATGTACAATTTGTTCCCTTTAGTAGGGTGCACAGTTCAAAACTTGGCTGTGTTTTGTGTCCATCGTCATCGAATGTACCAGCTACAGGAGTGCGCCTTCTATGTATGACCTGAGTAAGCAACTGTTGGCTGAATTTTGAGGCACCCGCTGCTGATGGTGCTCATCAGCCGGACTTCACTATGGAAAGACAGGTACATTGATGTTACCGCTGACCTTAGACGATTCAGTTGCTTGTTGACTCACTGTTGTTTTGTGCCCCTTCTCTACAGGATAGCCAACGAGCTGTTTGCAGGTGTGAAGCGTCACAGCGAACCACAAGAATGATGCAGCGGTTGGGGTTGGGGATGTGGCAAGGTTTTTTTTAGCCGTTCACACCTCGCTGTTGATGTTTTCCTAATGGTCAGGGGTGATAAAAGGCCGCGGGTGGTGTCAACTCCACAACTCCAATCCAACGATGGCTGTCAGAATGGGGTGCATGGAAGTGACTTGACGAACACGGCAGGTTCACAATCTTACCAGGCTTCTGTTGCCCACTGGGCGTTGGTCGGACACTTGTAGTTCACGTGTACCAACAGCAACCACAAACATCCTCCGAAAATGATATCTGCTCTCAGTGACAAGTTGTCCCAAGCCTTGATTGCGCTGTTGGAGCCCGCAACTGCACCATTGACTGCACATACACCATGCTGAGAAGGCCGCAGTGTGCGCAAGGGCCGGGTTCACTGACAACGCAAGGCCGTCGCTTGAGTATACCGACGAGTTTGTCCAGCATGTTACCCGCAATCTGGCCCTTCTGCAATTTGGATGCGACAACTAATTGCGCCTCGTCCCCGCGTCTTTCGAGCTGAATTGCAGAGTTTGGCAGCAACCTCCAGGGGTGCGCTGGCCGCGCACATCATGCGTAACGGCATTTCACAACCGTTCCACTGCTTGCACCGAATTTGTTCGACGCCCATCTCCAAGAACAACGCCATTACATGGCATTGTCTATCTTTCCCACCAATGCAGCAGGGAACAATACCGCAGATTGTTGGCTACAATATGCAAGCCACGACATGGCAACCACGATCGCCAGGACTCACTGGCTGACGTGACTGCCACGATAGGGATAGCGTGATGCGGTGACATGGGGAAAAACCAACAACTGCCCTTCGGAGAATTGCCTGGCGCTCATTCAAGGCGTTCCGGTTCGCTTGCATCATTCATGCCCACAGTGGCCAAAAGTGTTCAGCGGCACAGCGCGACCAGCGTCCATACAATGCGGTGTTGTAAGAGGACAGCGCAATGGCACGCCGAGGCAACTGACGCGAAGGTAGACCGTGCCAGGAAAAGTACGATTCGTCACTCGCTCCACATGGGAGGGTTCAACGCTATTGAATATGAAAACAATGGTGCGAGCATGGAAAAGATGAGTCAGTTCTTTTTTTGGTAGATGACAGGGTTTGCCAGCATAGGGTCCCACAGGCCAGGCAATAATGTGGCGCAGTTCTCCTCAACCATTGAATCGCTCATCAGGTGTACCAGTATGCTGCATCAGTGCACATTGAAACCGGGACAACGTTGCTCTTGGTTAGAAACGACGATTTTGCACTGCCTATAATAAGTTAAACAACGCGATACAAATACAAAAGAATTCGAAGCTACATCGCTGGGGCAACTCCATTACGCTTCCTGCTGCTGTTCTTGGCGCGACAGTGCTGAGACAATTCCTTTCTTCATCTCTGCGATTCCTCTACCACTGACAGTAGAAATCCTGAAGGCATCTGGCAGGCAGGAAGCCATTTGCGCAGCACCAGCGCAAGGGTCCCTCGACGTAGCCTCCTGCGTCATTTTGTCGCCTTCAGCGAACTCGTCTTCCAGGAGGTCTGCCTTGGACAAGACATCCAACCAAATTTTGTTTTCAAACCTGCCTTTCATCTCCTGGCGGATTCGCCACTGATCGGCCAAACTTGTGCCGCAGTCTTCCGTCAGGTCCAGTACAAATACCACTGAAGTCGGAAGATGCTGCAGAGCCGACAGTGTCAGCATCTCCATTGTGTTTCGGTCAGCATCGTTGCGATTGAGAAGGCCTGGCGTGTCTGTCAATTGGTGCCGTCTCCCATCGACCAGGAAGTGCCCAAGCTTGATGCTCCTCGTGGTGAACGGGTAGTTGCACACCTCTGGCCGCCCAGAGGAGATGGCTTGAACGAGAGAGGATTTGCCAACGTTTGGAGCCCCAACCAGCGCCAGGGTGGGGATGGCCGTGTCCAACATAGGCAGGGGTCTCAGCTTCTGAGCAATGCCCACCAAGTCCTCTATGGATTTGCTACCCCGCAGGTACACCCTCTTCATGGTGTCAAACCCTTCCTCTGCGATGTCCTCTGCTTCTCTCTTGCTCGAAGCGCTGGAGGCTCGTGAGGCATACGACCGGCCGACCTCCAGCACAGATTTTCGAAGGCTATTCACCTTGCCGAGCACCCTTGCGTAGTGCTCCTCTTTCACCGTCAAGTCCAGAAGGGCTGCCTCAAACGGATGCAGTTTTTGTGGGTTCGGAAAGCCCTTGACGTACCCATTCAGGGGAACAGCCACAGCTTTCATCAAGGCGTCCATTTGGCGGGCGGCCCGGTTCTTCGCCTGTGCAGCCAAGTTCTTTATCCTCTTGTTGCGCCCGATCCTGCTTGCCCTCTTGATTGCAGAATTGATGTGCTCATCGGGTGGGGCCACCATTGGAACGCGTTGGAGAGCGCCTGCGAGAATTCATCAGCTGTGCTCAGAAGATCAGCTGGAACACAAACAGGAACAGTGTGTGCACGTGACATAAACCAAGGGAACATTATTGCTGTGGTCATGAGATGAAGAAAAGACCTCAATCCACATCGCTGGATGTGAGCCTTGTGTGTCCATCTGTAACTTGTCTGTGAAGTTCAAATAGAAACCAGAATAGAGGCAGCAGCCTTTGATTCTGAGATGGGGTGCCCTGTAATCCCTTCTGGCCCTCGCTGACTGGCTTGGAACTCGAGTAGTTTTCGGGTTGCGTGTAATGGGCAGTGGTAGATGTGCATGGGGCGCACTTTACACTTTGTGGACGGTGGGCAGGGGCCAACAATGCAATAAACAAAGATTTGCCAGGCCAACTGCAGCAGGTGCCACGTCGTCCTTGTGAATGAGCATTGATGGGCAATTATTGGCTGCCATGCCAGTGGGACGTGGGGCTAAGACGACGGCACTCTTTTGCGGTGCTCCCATGGGGAATTGAGGTGCAAGAAGTCAGCGCCCGGCCGGGCGGGCAACAAGAGAGAACAAATGGCCAAGGCGCAGCAGTAAAGCTGCTAATATCTGCAAGCAGCACCTGCCACGCCTTGGGGACTCGGTGGGGCCGCTTCGGTGTCCCTGGCCACTGCTTCGAACCTCCCGGGGGTCATGTAGCCGACGGCGGCGTCTGCACCGCCGCTGCCATCGAGCACAGCCCTCAACCTGGGCGTGATCGCGCCTCCTCGGCACGAGTGCCATGAGCGGATGAAGGCCCGCCGCTGCTCACAAGCAACAAGATACGTGAAGAGACCGGGCAGACACAAGACTTTTCCTGATTGTGGGACGGTGTGACAGTCTCCTTGATTGCGGGTACCTGATTCAACAGTGCCGTGCTGAGGAAGCGCAGCGGCTTCAGGATGGCGTGTCGCCCAAGCAGCGCAGGTCCTTGAACGTGCAGCCGCTTCCCAAACCCGGGCAGGGTTGGGGTAGGCTTCATTGACACGACTGTCGCTGCGTGCGGAATTGCAGCCAAAGGACAAGTCTGCGTTTGTGTGACCACCAGGCATTTTAAGGTTGTTACGGGTGTCACGATTGTTCCACAGTGACCACCAGTGGGTCGCCTTGGAATTTTAGTGCTTGACGGATTTGCAGCACATTTGGGCCTGGTTCATTGCGCGAGTACATCAAAACAGTAGTGAAGTCAAAGAATAGTGAGTCACGAGGCCCCAAGGGACGCCACCGGGCGGCTGGATTTTGGATGCATGGGTGCGTCGGCGTCACTTCCGTGCCCACGCAAGTGGTGCAGCTGAGGCAAAAGCCAAGGAATACGTGAAGAGAACATGGATTTCACAGCATTGCATTCCCCGCGAGAAGAAGCAACAGGAAATCCAAGAAACTCGAACGCCCATCCTGGTTGCTGACGCCGGCGAGCTTTGCACCCATCCCATCGGCTGACAGGTGACCGTTGAAGGAGACAGACGACGGGGGCGAAGGTGGACCCATTCCCAGCGGGAATGCAGGCAAACAGGGCGGGCCTACCATAATAGGCGCCCACCGCCAGGGAGTTGATCCCATCACGCGTCTGCGACGAGAGCGCTGCGCGCTAATGGCAGGGGCCAACAGTGGCTCCAGTCTGGAGTGGGCAGTGGGCTGTGCGGTCCGAATAAAGACCGTGAACAACGAAGTACGGACAAGACCCCCGGTGGCCGTGCCCAAGCGCCCCTGTGCTCGGTTGCCTTCAGCCCGTCTGATCGTGTCGTCCTGTGGATTGCAGGAGCTGTCTGGAACCCTGTTTGCCGTAGATGCTATCACCGACTGCCTCGTCTTGACGGAGCCCGGCGACGAGGACGGAACGAGAAACTACAGCTTCCTGAAGACCTGCTGCGTAAAGGTTGGTTCGCCTCCCGCGCAAGTGGCTGGCCTCTGGTGAGGTTTGATGAGCCCATCACGTGTCGCCTGTTCTGCCGCCACAGAGCGATCCAAAGTCGAACCGCCAGTGCTGCCGCCAGCAATCCGATCGCAGCATCGTGCTAAGGGGCCGCGGCTGTCTGCTTGCCCCCGCTTTCTGGAGCCGGAGCCCGCTGACTTCGCCGTGCTCAAGGCGCCCTTCTGCCCGCCAAACAAGGAACGGGCCGAGATCCGCCTGATCCGATCGTGACGACCTTGGAAACTTTCGACGACGATGTTCGCTGCTGCGCTGACTTTCGGCGCGCGATGTCACAGGAGGTGCTCTCCGCGACGAGGCCGCAGGCGGAGCCAGACGCGCCCATGGGGCACGTCGACCTGCGGGAGCGATGCGAGAGGGAGGAAAGGGCTCTGAAGGTACGCATCGGGGAGGGCGGGGCGGGATTGTCCGCGGGGTCAAGGGCGAGGGGCGACGGTGGACGGTGTGTGGGCTGATGTGCCAAGGTTGTGGCCAATAGACGATGCAGGGTTGGAAGCCCGTGGGCGAGGGGTCAGGACCTGTGTGCGGTGCTGTCAGGTATCGGAGGCCTGTCGAGACCAGCAGCCTACATCTTCGGAGGGCGAGGACTTGCTGTTGGGCCCTATTGAAATGGACGCCGGGGAGGCGCAATAGCCCACAGCGGAAGGCGCAGCAGAGGTGCGAGCGGCTGTCCAGGTTATCGTTTACATCCAGGGATCCGATGAGGGGCCCCTGAGAATCTTTGGTGAACGTTCGCATATGGCAATGCAGGAATGGGACTCAAAAGGACCACAAATGTTTGTGGTACATGGGTGGAAACTGGGTGACACCAGTAGTGGGAGCCAGTACTCTCCATTTTGGTTAAGTGCCTCGTGATGCACGGCAACTTCCCTTCAGCCTGCCGATGTTTGATGCGTAAACAATTTTGGCCCTGCTGTTGTTCCCTCTGAAAGCCCGAATGCAATCCCATTGAGAGAAAGTCAATAATTGTGTCACTGGCCACCTGCACGTGCACAATTGAAGGTACTGTTCTGATGATTTGAATTCGATTGTGACAAAATATTGAATCCATACTCGTAGGCCACTTTCAGCTCCACAGCGATCCCATCAATTGCGAGAGCTGGCAAGAACTGGCAAGATATTCCATTATCTGGCGGTAGCCCTCCCAGTTCAGTGTTTATTAGTGGCAGCACAGTGTAACGTCGCTGCTTCACTGTGGCAGTAGCACTGCAGAATCAATCATATGTGGGTTGTTTCTGAAGAGGTTTGGGGGATTCTGATGCAAAACACATTGCCCATTGATTGTCATGGCCAGTTGTGCAATTTCTAGGTGGAAACAGCATGTATGCCCTCTGTCGATTCGCCAGCTTGCTGCTGAGGAACGCATGTGCAAATGAACCAGCAACACTGAACAAAACTCTATCCCCTTTGCAGGGCCTTCATCCTGTGATCAAGCCCAGTGGTACAGGAGCTCTCCACGGCTGGCATCGCACAGCCGGTAACTGCTCCGCTGGAGTTGGACCATGGGCCACTTATGCATGCCATCGAGGAAAGGGCTCTTGCTCTCCAAAGGCACACGCCCTGCTGGAGTCTCAGCAAGGGGGGGAACGGGGGGGGGGGGGGCAGTCTGTGCTGTCTGCATCGATCCATCCATCCCAGACACAATCCTTTGCATCTTCCAAGGGACTGTGCATTCAGCACATCCACCTGCCAACTTCTTGAGCATGCAGCACTCAATTTGACTCACAAGAGGAATGTTGAAGTCGCGCAGTGCCAAGTGGTTATTAACAGTGATGGGGAACGGAAAGATGGCTGCCAAAGGAGTTGTTTCCTGTGGATTGGATGCTGTGGGAAATGCGCCAACAGTCAAAGCTGGCTCGACTTTCTCGCAGCTGATCCCAGGCTGCCTTTGCAATCATCTTGCGATGTTGCAGGTGTTGCGGCCCCCACACGCCAGCTGAAGGGACAGCAGGTTGATCGGCTCTTGCTGGAGCTTATGTAAGAATTGCTGTGCATTGTCTGTCAGTCGCTGGAGCATAATTTCCTGTGGGTTGAACTTCTGTGACATGCCCTTGTGGACTCCTGTAAACATGTTCTTGCTTCTTCGTAGCACAGGTGCTTCTCTTCAACACTTGGTGCTCCCACTGGATCCACATTCTTGAACAATCCAACACTCCTCATGGGAGCCATACCTTCCACTAGAATGTGGTGTGTGCATCGGAAAGAGACCAAGAAGTCTTTTCGCAGATTCAGCGCTGAGGGCTGAAAATGAACTTTGGCTGGCGACTGGTGACTGTGTGAAGTGGCCACTGCGAATTCAGTGCTATATTGCCCCCGTTCAACTCACTAGCAATGGAAGAACACAGGCATCGACAAGAGCAGGAATAAGCAGCCTATGCAAAAAGCATGCATTGGCAAGCTAAGTGCACCAAACGTTGCATGTGCACCACGACGGCGCCTCCATCACAGGTCACAGACGGTATCGCAAATTGAACGTCCACACAAGGCTTATGGTGAATCAGTCAAAGACAAAGCGGATGGCGCCTTGGGTGTCAACATTTTGCATGAGCTTTTGAGTGCGAATCAACAAACCCAACGGTATTAGCGTCGCCTTCAGGACGTTCTAGCTGTTTGGAAGCTCACACTCGAATACAGCAGCCGGTTTCCATTTTAGGACCTCCGTACGTTGAGCTCGAACATTTTGAAATGGGTATGTGGGACATTGCTTTGAAGCACAAGGCAGTGGCAAGGTGAGTGGCAACAGTCAGGAGCAGAAGCAACTTTGACGAGCAGTGACAACTGTGAAAGCGCAATCCGAGCTGAAATCGCATGCACACCTGTGTTGGTGAGCGGGGCCTCCACCCTTTGGTGGGTTTCTGTTCTGTGTGATGCAGTCACATCCCAAGTTTGAGGGAATTTGTGTCATGTGTTGCACATACACAGCACTGCATATGCCTCACCACAAGCACATCACACAATCCCATGCTTCGTGTCCGTCCCGACAGCAGGCCATTCCAAATTGCAATCATAGAGATTGTTTCGCCCAGTTAATGTATCCCTCCAGATGAATTTTTGAGCTAAGGTCTCCCAAGGCCACCTCCCATTGCTGCAGCCATGGACACCAGCTGCAACCACAAATATAGCCAGTTCAGAGTGAAACTGCCAGCGGCGCAGTCAATTTTGATACCAAGGGCTGTGTGAATGCGGTATTACTCACAATCTAGCAGATAACACACACTCAATGACTTGTTGTCTACACATCTTTGTGCAGCCAACTGCGTCTCTTGTTCAGAGCAAGCGTCATGCATCACTGGGTGGGGGTGTAGTCTCACCTGAGGTGGTAGGAATTTGTTGCTCATCTCTGATATCTTTTGTTTGACTTCTGCATCGGATGTGTGCTCTCGAACAGCAGTCATGAACTGCATGACCCCTTCAAAACCACCAGTTGGAAGCAACTGAGTGGACATGTGAGCACTCCAGGCAGCAAATTTGCCAGAGATGGGGCTGACTTTTGGACTGAGGCCTGGAAGGGCACTGATCAAATGAAGGCCAAGACCAACAAAGATCCCACATTTGCACGTGGCGAATAATGTAACTATGATACCTGGTGAACTTTTTGTTGCTGCAAATGAGACAAGAAGCCTCCCAATCACCATATGGTCGCAGGTACAATGTTGCAATGCAAACCAGATCACTGTCGTTTGCCAATACATGCACACAAGCCGTGCTGATCTTTTGCCCACAAAGCGAATGGACGAAGAAAGAAAAGAAATCGTGAAAGAAGACAGAAAGAGCAGATTCTGTGCATCAAGTAAAGGAACAGGTGGCTGTGTTTCCACAAACATCCCTCAAGAATCCAGCCTCCCACAGCCTAGGATACTGCTAGAGTGCCGAGATGACACTGTTGTCGCATTGCTTGCAGCTTGGTTACAGTGGCATACCTGTAATGTCAGCAGGAAACCCATATTTCGCCAGTGTACTGGCAATAATTTCCACAGCCATGGGCATCACGCGTGTCATCATCTCCAGTGGATCTGACGCCAGAAAAGGGTAAAAAAGGTGTTGTTCGCCTCAAAACTTGAAATGCGTCACAGGATGGGGCTGTGCGGTTAGTCAAGTGAAATTTGCTGTGCTGGTCATAACTGCATCCACACACCACCGACCTGAAGGCGCCGTCCATGGAGACGCCAACAAATGCCGTGGTTGATGAGCACACAGTGTCTTTCACAAGTCGCTTAAAGACAGATTCTGTTACCGTCGCGTGTATGTCGACGGTCCGCATGGGCGAAAGACGTCTGCAAGGGGAGGAGGTGCATTTTCAAGCGTGCGGATGGGACGCTTACTGTCTTCAGAGAGGTTTTTGGCCTCCTCTAGACGCCCGGAGTTTTCAGGAGCTCCCAGGGAAGCAGTCACCTCATCCAGTGCGGCTGCACGCGAATCGAAACGAGCGTCAGCTCATCACCAAGGTGCGAACCACTGTTGCGAATCGATCTCAGAATGACCCAAACTAACGCGATCCTGTGTCAAAAGCCCACGGGAGGCTCGGGTCGCCAACAAGCTTTCCCTTCGCCAGAAGATCCTTTTGATAGGACACCAGCGCATAGGCATGCGCCGGCGCCCCCGCACACCTTTCGCCTCATCAACAGTGAGGGCCTTGCCGGCTGGCACTTGGAACGCGTTGAACTGTGGTGGAGGCATCCCCGCCATGGTGTGAAGCTGCTGTGCGCGAGCGTTCAGACAACCGTCTGGCCGAATTGCCAAAGCCAAGGTGGTGGTGGAAAGTTGCCCGAGCGCTACGGCGCTCGGTTGGAGAGCTGAGTATTGTCTGTGATGGGGTGGATCAACAGAATAATATGCCAGCGTCTGGGCCCGGGACGTCGCGGTCTTCAAGCGAACGAGTCTACAGTACCATTGACGAAGGCAGACAGGGTCGAGGGGTGGCGATCCCTGAACGGGAATCGTACGCTCAAGTCCACGGCAACGGTTTACAGCCGAGGCAAAAGGACTACAGACGTTCTGTCCTTTATACCCAGTCCGTTCATCAACATCCCTAATGCAATCCTTAGTGCTTCGTCATCTTTTCATACATTTAGTTATTAATAACACTCAATCAGTTCTAGCCGTAACACCATCTCGAAGCTCGACTTTTGGCTTCATGAGATGTACCTGCGACCGTGTCAGGAGGTCGGGGTGACGCGCCACAAAGTACGAGTTCACGGATTGCATCAGGCTGAATGCTCTGAACCAATTCAAGCAGTATGTTAAGCTTGTCGCCACAGATTTTCTTTGCTTGGCCGAAACCCGGGAACAGGCATCGCAATGCACGAAGTGAATTTGCAAGCTGTGGGGAGGGTCGGAATTCATGCCCAACATCACCTTTAAGGTGCAAGGGCAGTGTTTTGTCATGTTAAGAGCATCTTTATCGGTGGGTGCTATGCCTACGCCGAATAGCATCACGGCAGCACTACAATGTTCTGCGCGAATAGCACCGGTGCTATTCTGGGGTGCTGTTCGGCCCCGAGCGGTGCTATTCGGGGCCAAAATAGCGCCGCTCGGCGCTGAATAGCTCCGGGGGTGCTATTGGGGTGCTATTGCCCCCCAACTGTTAATGATGGTTTTGCCTTTGCGGTGCTGGATAGCCCGGAGCCGCCGGAGCAACTCCACCGCAGGCAGGACGGGCGGCTGGGAGGGAAACGGACCGCAACAGGATGGTAAATGCGCACACCACGCCATCAAATTATCCAGGCGAGGGCTGCGTTTGACCTCTTGCTCGTCGTGCACCGGCGGACCTCAGAGACGGTGCACTGCAGTAGTCGGTTGGGGCTTCGTCTGTGCGAGTCGCCCGCTCGAAAACAACGCCGAGAAGGGGCGGAAACAGCGGTACAGGATGGTGCGTGTCTTGACGGCGCTGGGTACCTCCGCGTGCCTTGCTGCGTCCAGTCTGGCGGGGTCTGGGGAACCGACAGCGGCAGGCTCTCGCCAGCTGCCGACGTTGTCATGTTTTGAACCCTGAAATGCTTGCTTCTGTCGGAGGGCTTGTCGCTGTCTCCGTTGCGCTGGTTCTTGGGCAAACCGGGCGCGACTTGACGCCACATTGCGTGCATTGCAGGCGTCTCGAATTCTCGCCCAATTGCTGATTGCCGGTGGTGCGATGCTTTTCAGAGCAACAGTTCAAGCATACAGACAAGCAATAATCAGTAAGTGCGGCCTGAAATGTGCAGTTTGTGTTTTGAGCTCTCCAGGAGGAAGTGAACTCAGGGCCACATGTTTGTGTCAAGGGTGGCAAAGGTTTCGCGCTGGGTGACCAATGCCGCTGTGCTGCCTGCCACGTTGAAGACCCACTGGATGTGCGGAATGGGTGCAGGCCGATTCCATTGGGCAGTGCCCGGGATTGAAAGATCATTTCGACACTTGGACATCTTGGCACAAAAGTACCCGTCCGAATTGCCCCCCCGCTCGTGTTGTCTGCGGCAATCAGTGATGCTTGCGCCCAAAAGTACCCTCTTGTGACCCTGGCTGTGACGAGAATTAATGTGTGGTGCAGATGGACAACGAGCAGGCGTTACCCCTGAGGCGCTGCGGAATGCTGCTAGGTCACAGATGAGCCTGCAAGAAGCACGCATGATTCTTGGAGTGGAAGGAGATGCTAAGTGGGAGGATATTATGAAGGTAATTCGAAGCCTGGATGGATTGCGGCCTCGAGCCAAAGGACGTTGGAAGGCATGTATGGCCAAACAGGCGCCTTAGTATCGATCCCAACTGTGAAATTCCTTCCTGCTGCTTCTATGCCGGATGCATTCAAAACTGTCAGTGAACAATCAAAACCACGGTCTGTATTTTGGACCACCGTTTCTGTGGGTTGGAGACAGATTGAGAGTAGAGAATTGAAGCAATGCACTTTGCAGGTGATGACAGGCGTCTGTACAGGGGCACCATCTTTCTCTTGTGAAGCCAAAACCCAATAATTAGAACTAGCCACAAACTGTACTGGTGCTGTCTTGCTGGCCCTGATTGCCTTTGGCATGTCCTGACAGTCATTCTGGTTGCTGTGTCAGAAATACGAGCATCTGTTCTCTGTGAACGAAAAGAGTGGCTCATTTTATCTGCAGTCCAAGGTTTACCGTGCAAGGGAACGGCTGGAACAGGAATATCAACAAGAGCACAAGGAATACGAGGAGCAGCAGCAGCGGCGGCGGGAACAGCAACAGGAGTCACACCAGTCGCAGTCTCGGTAGCATCCAAGTTCGCCTGTTCAATTAAAGGTTTTGATGAAGACAGCCGCCACCTGCTGGTCTGAGCATTGTTTTTGGTGCTCAAACCTCCTGCTGTGGCGTTTCTCCTCTGCCGTGAAGTGCGTAAACGTGCAGTGCCATTGATGTTGATGTAAACTGGATGTCGGGGCATGGCGGACTGCGAAGCGGGCTTGCACGTGCAAGATGCAGCTGTGTCTGGGATTCGCCCATCATGAAACGATTTGGCCGGGTGAAATCCCTCTTGACTATTTATGTATGCTGGGAGTGCGAGAGGAGGGATGCGCGGGTGGTCTGGGTAGGGACGCTAGAGAGCGTGACACACTGAGAGTGTAGAACTTTGAGCGTGACATGCACTGAGCAGAGACGAATTGCTGGACGCCGTGTGACGATGGTCCCAGGACGCTGAGGGTTAGGGATAGAGATGAACGCCCACAAACCGATTGCGCCAAGGAATAGCACATTTGCAGCGGGCAGCTATGCAGACAAGGCAGGGATCAGTGACCTTCACCATGGGTAACAATGGCGTATCACCTGCACCATGCGCAGGTGCACGAAATGGCTCGTTCTCGATCGTGGCTGTTGCACTGCAATGTGCAGAATTTGCCAAGCGTGGATTAACAGAAGGCAAATGTGGCCCAGGTGGCTTCGAGTGCGACTCTTCAACTCATTCATCACAATTGTTCAACAAGAAATTGCAATCAACAAGAAACTGCCTGGCAACTAATCCGACAGCGAACCTGTCGTCTCCCGCTGGGCCTTTCGGCTACAACTGTCTATCAACGCCTGCACAGCACGTGCCGCTGCATGTCATTATTTGAAACTTATCCTAAGCAGTATCCTTTCCTCTCATGTGTGGATCGCACTGCAGCGACACCTACGGCACCTCCCCTGTCGATAGTCATCGTCGCGTCGTCCTCCACACACTCCTAGCAATCGCTATAGCTAAGGCTAAGGCACTCAACCGCCACCGCGAATTCCGCGGCTTCCTAATCACAAATCACGTCCTGTTTGTCACTGTCTGCCAACTGAAAAAGGGTCTGCACGAAGACCAGCAAGGCCAAAACCAGGCCTCGGATCCTGGGCATGAGAAGGAATATTTTCCCATCTACGCCTATTTCCCTCTTTCAGACAGGATCAAAGAAAAGCGGCATGTCTCGCAAAGCACTGGCAGCAAGCCGGCAGGACAAACCCTCTCCTAACACACAGTATGCCTACATGACGCCCCAATGCAATGCAAATGTCCACCTGGTTCGTTCCGTGACACAAGCCTTCATCTGTGAGCGTGGCCCCATTATGCAACAGGTGGAATCTGGTGTGCACAGCAGCCCGCTCTCAGGGTCGCTGGGGGCCATGAGACGCCTGGTGGGGTGCCACGCCCGCCACGGCACATTTATGCGCAATTGCTCCATCAATGTGAAGAAAGAGAGTAACTACCTTCACTTCCAAGGCTGCACAAGTTCGTGCCTGCAAGGTGTAGCCCCCGTGTCCCGTCACGCCTTCTCCTTCTCCTTCTCTTTTTCCTTTTCCTTCTTCTGAGCCTTGAAGGCCTTGATCTCTGCAGCCTGCCTCTCCACAATGGCCTTCAGGCGGGCAATTTCGCGGGTCTCGAATGACCTGGAAGCCTCGTTCGTCACCTGAAAAGGACCACCCACCACTTTCAACACAGGGAGCCCGACCGAGCGCCAAAGGAGCAGCACATGCACAGGAATGGAGCCTCGCATTGCACGTAGAAATGGCGACCATGACAAACTCCTGCACCTGCACTACTAGGAACTAGGAAGCAAGTGTTGCTGGATGCCCACCGTTCACCACGAGCACCTCAGTGCAAAGCGCTGGCACTTGCCTGCTTGACTCGCGTTGCATAGTCTAAGCTGTTTCGTGCTTCTCCAGCATCCTCGCACAGTGGGGACACGTTGACGATCATCAGAGTCTTTGCATTCCCTCCAAGGGAATCTCGCATGAGTTCTGTCAACTTGTGGTTACGGTAAGGAATGAAGGATTCCCCAGTGGTGAGCGCAGATACAACATCCCCAAGGGCCGACAAGCTCTTGTTAATTGCCTTCGCCTCTGCAGCAACAGAGATTTCAAGTGTCATTACCAAAACCATGCTTGTGTCCTACTAATGTTGAATACCAGTCCAGCCAAGCCAAACGTTCCTAGTGAGTACGACAAGCAGCCCACAAGTGTCACAAAGAGCTGTCTATCCCTCCAGATACTACTAACACACAAACGTGTTGCAGCTTCAAGGGCAGGGCAGATGTGCAATGCACAACAGCACGACACACACCCCAGCATACTTCCAAGGCTGACAAGTACAGATTTGATTCGATTCTTATAAAGATGGATGAATCAACTAGTGGATCCACAAAAGCCAACACAAGGCCACCTTTCACATTATATTCTATTCTAACGTGCAGGCATCAGTGGGATTTATTCTGATGAACACCTGCCAACATTTTTACGAAATTAACAACATACATTCCCATGGTATGGTATCAGTGGACCCCTCACGGACACCACTTTCCATTTTTAGGACATCAATGGCAGTGACAGATGTTCTGCAGGCTAGCTCACCACATTCCCAAGCCTGGCATGCTTTGTGTCATTGACTTGCATGCTTCCCAACAAGCTGCACGTCTCTCAACCTGCTGTGTCTCTTCACATGACAGCATGTGACCTAACTTCTCACCATTCATCCGATGCCTGTCGTCCACTGCACCCGATCTCATCACCCGCTCTGATCCCGCCAAATCCACAAAACTGACGTTTGCCCGCGCTACACTACCAGCAACTTCGTTTGTTCGCTCCAACACAATGCGGAAGATCAAGTGCGACCTGGAAGATTGGATGTTCAGCTTGGTGGCTGCTGTCCTCCTCTTCCGCTGCCCTTCTTCGAACATCACCAGCAGTTCGTTCGCATCTTTGGCTTCCCTTGTTGCTGCACCCTCGACATTCACCAGACCTGTCTTGGCATCCAGTTTGATCCTCAGCTTTTGAGTCTCACAGCCAGTGAACAGGTCATATAAAGAGTCCTGGGCAACAGGAACACCACAAGCCCATCAGCAACGACGTCGAAAGCAAAAAATCTTCCATGATGATCTCCTCCCTCACCACCTAATTACCTGCCTTCCACACAGAAAATGCTATGTGCAATTGAAATAATGAAATCTCTGTTCTGCAATTAACGGTTTGGGATACACAGAACGCCAAGGCCTGCACAACAAGGGCTGCACAGCTGTCTGACAAAGCTATTCACTCACAATAACCATATCAACACAACAGATGCTGGCTGCAATCGCACCTCTTGGGCACCACTTGCGTTGATGTGACCCATACTCACCTGATACAGCTCGATCATGGATGCACGGACCATTGTTGTTTGAGAGTTGCCGTGTGGAACAAAAATTTCCTCAATAGCCCTTGGAATGATTCCAGGCTGTCCTTCCTCTCCTGCGGGTTGCATTGATGTAAATCAGGAGCAGCTTCTAGCCAGCAACAACGATGGCTTGCTCTGGTGAGAAATTCAACACCACCACTGGCTGCTGCTGGGGGCGACAAGCTGCTAGGAGTCGAAGACAATACCAACCTCCCTCTGACAGCAACCGGGGCTACTGCAGATCTGCTGTGCTTGCAGGCAGCCAAGGACAGCACAGGGAAACAATGTGCCTGGGCAACGTCGAGCAAGGGATTTTCGTTGCACCGTTGAGGGTCAGCTGGCCCAATCCCTGAACAATAAGTTTTGGAAGGAAAATCGCTTGCACCTCGTACCGAAGGACCTGACTACTAGATGGAAGGAACATGGCATGCCAAACCAGTAATTACAAGGAATATAGGCCAATCAGGATTTCCTTCCACACGCACCAGATATTGTGTAGGTTTTCCCGGATCCCGTCTGCCCATAGCAGAAAATGCATACGTTGTAGCCATCGAAAGCAGATTGTATGAGCTGCGATGTCTCGTGGTAAACTTCAGCCTGGGTCGCTTCTGGTCCAAAGACACCGTCAAACTCAAACTTGCTTGTCACAGATTCCGTTTGTGCAAAGCTGAGTGACCTCCGAGCCTTTTTCTCAACCTTGAGCTCCAGCGTGTAGGCATCGCTTTTCTGCCAGCAACAAAACATATCATTAGCGACCGGAAGGGCCTGCAGGCATGCCTTAAAGTATGCTGTGTAGATAGTCCTGAATTTGTGCAAGCATGTCAAAACCGGTCTCAGCAACCCAGGATTTCAGTTTTCCGTTTGCCTGGCACTCTGGGCTCCGATGGACGCAAAAGGAAATGTGGGCATCTGGGAAGTTGAGGCCCCACAGGAGTCAAACTCGTGAAAAGCCACAACAACATCTGCAAACCTGCAGTTCCAAGCACGAAACAGTTATCAGGACAATAGGCTTGAGGGCTGTACGCAACCTCCAACGCCACCATCTGTACGCATTGAAACAGGTTTCCCAGGTTTCACAGCACTTGCCTTGTGAAGTCGTGACTTACAAACAAAATCACCGCAGGACAATTATTCCGTAAGCCTATTGGAAACCCAAGTACGCTACAAATATGCCTACAACAAGCTGGATGGCACCCTTGCTATGGCTTAAAACAGGGGATACAGGAAATAGCCAAGAACCAACAGCCCTTGTACAATCCAACTGTGACACAAAAGAAGCTTCAGAACATAACCTAGCATGCCTGTCACTTGCTAATATCCCACACAACATCAGTATGTCTTGCTGGCAAGGCCAGACTGACCGGATGTAGAGCCAGTACCACAATCTTGATCATATGTTTCTTGCCACAATTCGGAGACCAGGGTGAGCACAGACTCTGGCATCAAATCAATCACCTTAAGAGCAACTTCTCGTGTGCACTCCATTCCAGCCACCACAGGGGGTCTCACACGTGCAAGCACACAGACATTGCCTTTCATTTCCCGAATTTGGTTGTGTGCCTTCTTTCTCAAGATGCTTTCACGCCCAAGCTCCAGCTTCAGGGTCACCATCGTCTTCTCCGCCTCTTCCGCGCGCTGCTTAAATTCCTCAACCTTTGGGGATGTAGGCTGCAGTTAGTGTTATATACCACTCGGACAACCACTTGATAGGCCACAGGCCACAGGATGGGTAAACACACAAAGCTGCCGCTGCATGCTGCACTGGCTTCAAGCATCGAGGAAAGCTCTGGAAACGTTGTCAGACACTGTAGCTGCTTCTGTACTGACAAACCAGGCACATTTCTTGCATTCTTTGCTGTACTCAAAAGAATTGGCAAAATTGACAAAGCAATTTATCAGTGAGTCCTTGCACAGTGCTCCCACACCAAATCACAGTTTTGGGTCGAGGACAACAGACAGGAGTGACCGATGCCTTCATGGGTGCGCGATCCAATTACCTGTTCTTCGTTGGCCTTCAGCTTCTCAACCATGTTCGTCAACTTTTCAATCTGTGCATTTGCCTTTGCAGCATTCGCATTGGCTTCTGCCTTGGTCAACTCCAGTTCACTTGCTCGTTCCTCCAGCTGAGCCTCCAGCTCGGACACTAAATTCCTCAGTCGTTTTCGTTCTGCATGCAGCTCCTCTTCAGTCTTTGCTGACTGCGAAATATTCGCTTCCAGGCTGGCCTGTGCTTGATTAAGCTCATCTGCCAAATGCATACAAAGTCTCAGCCATCGACCCATGCAGTTTCCAAACTGAACAGTGGTGTGCACATTGTGCACCCCAGGCATCAGATTTGGAATGCTGTTCACAATACATTGAATCATCTGTATCTGTACACTATCAACATAATAAAAACGATAAGATTAGGCAGGCACCGCACGCGACTCTGCAAAACCTTCACAACCAACAAGCTGCTCCAGTCCCAGCTCCCATACTCACTACCCACTCCTTCACCTGCCTACATGCTTAAGATATTCACCGGCCACCCAACAACACGATGGTATCCAGTAGGAGGCTCACCTTGCAACCGTTGAGTTTCATCGTTCTTCTTCAAGTCCCTTTCCAGATCAGCTTTTGTGGACTCCAACTGCAAAGCCAGCATCTCTTTCTCCCTCTGCAACTCCTTGTTATCACAGTTCAGCTCTTCCACCTGGGTCATGAGCTCCTTGATGCGCCGCACAGCCTTGCCCTTCACACAGTGCAGTTCCTTCTGTGCTTCTGCCCGTGCCTCAGCAACTGCCGCCTGCTGGGCTGCCTCAGCCTCTGATGCACCTCGAAGGAGCGACTCATTCTGATCCTTCAGCTGGCGCATCTGCAAGGGGCCATTGCAGCATCAATAGTCAGCAACTCACAAATCAGCTTGTCCACAGGCAATTAACGACTGCTACAGTCAATAGCAAGCACATCATGGAGCTCAGTCGATGCTCTCAGCTTCACAAGCCATAGCGAACCAACAATCACTGACTGACACTTTCCATGGTATGGAGGATGACAGGGCAAACTGCATATTGCAACAGAAATCTTGCATTCGAAAACCTGCTCAGAAGCAAGCGCATCGTTCACAACCAATGCTGATACCTGCCAAACATATTTTTCCAAAAGTTCTGAATTCCCATATCCACTCAACTCAGGTACATGCGGCAAATCTCACTGTGCACTGGCCTGCATACTGAGGAATATGGCACACTACTAAGAAGTACAGCACAAAATAAATCAACTATACTATTCCAACATGGATAAACATCAGCACCTGAAAGTCGCTGTAGTCTGAGTAACCCGATGGTGATGCCCTGTGCCAGGGCATGTGGCCAATGTCATGCAGCAGCTGTGTCCCTTCCTCCTCATCGGCCGACCCCATGTCCCCCACACCCAGAGAGACAAGGGCCTGCCACCGCTCTAGGCCAGCATTCAGCACATCATTGACATCAAGGAGCATTGCCAACTCATCTTGATCAATTTCTTGAGCAAGCAGCTCCTGCAGCAGGCCAGCATATGTTCCAACCTATTTCAGTACATACCAGCAGGAGGCACTCGTCTCCTTGGCTGGCTAGTCAGGCAGGTGGAGACAAGACAACATGATCACAAAGTATGTGGCTATGACAGGGTAAACATTGGATCAGGAAAACAATGGTATCTGTGGATGTTCCATTACACGGACTCAACACTGGCTGAGGCTCAACAAGTTTCAGTCTGTGCAGGCTTAGCAACTGGCTATCAACGGTTGTCAGCCACTTCATTGTCACAAACATTTGTGTTCCAACATTCACTGCACCTGTATGTCTTCCAGCCACACGTTGCACTTCTCGGCCGCCACCCAAGCCATGTTTAATTGGTCCAGAACATCCTTCTTGATGCCTCCCTTTCCCTTCTTCATGGCCTGGGCAGTGTCAGTGACCTTCGCCATCGCCAAGCCCAGGTTTTGGACATCGGCCTTTATCCGTTGTACCTGCAGCACATGTGGAGGTTGTTGACTGAAAAGCGAAACAACACCTGAATTGCCAAGGCCCTGCAACATTCCAGATACTAGAGGCACAACAGACCTCTGCCTGTCAACAGAGTGCCCCGGAACATGTACTGCCAGCCCATTCCAAGCATGAACCAGAGCAACACCAGTTTCAATTCGACCTCCCCTTGCACCAAAGACAGCATGTTCGCATTTCAATCTTCTCATAGTCCACAAACTTGCCAAGGAAATGCAATCAGGCAGCATCCAACCAACCTGCAAGTCCTTGCAACAGTACAGCATGGTGATATGCAAACTACACGAATTCACGATTCATAGCTTTTCCCTAGGCATCGACACCATAGCAAGCTATCCACAGTGTCGAGATTGCAATCCCGGGATCAGCGCTGCTTACCGTCATGGCCACACCGTTGCCAGTTCTTGCAGTGAACGCTTTCGACTGCTGCATTGTAGGGGTCCTCGGGGCAGGAGGTGGTGACCGGTCAGTCAGCAGTTGACAGAAGTCGAGTCCACGCTCAAAACCGCCCCCCAGCGATGAAGTCGAGCTGTCTGACGAATTGGGCATTTCTCTACTGCTCAGATGCTGCAAGAAGTCCGGGGTTGGGGATCGGCTGTCGAGAGGAGTGGGCAGAGTTATATTCCTGCTCTCAAGCTCCTGCAGAACTGACTGATACACAATTCCCAGTTCATCGCTCCTGAACAAATGCACAGCAGTTTGAGCACAACGCAAGCGCAATGTCCCAAAATGGGCACTGCAGAACATGGTGTTGTGTATGCCAGTCGCATACAATGTCGATTCCTGAACATGTCCCATGCAAAGAGTAAACAGTGCACATAAGCATACATGTCTCAATGTCAGGAAACTTAAAAAGTGATCAGCACAAGGGTCAAGTACCTCTCCAAAAATCAACTGAATCCCTGTTGTTTCCAGGGCACAACCCCATCTTCTGCACAAATGGCATTGCAGTTGCGTTGAAGTGTGAATGCACAATCCAGTCACAAAGAGGAAAGGTAAAGCCCCCCCCCCCCCCCCTACCCCCCTTTTTCCACCTCAAACTGAGGGCACATCAATAAATGAACCAAAGAACCAGTCCAGTACTTGCCTGTACTTCTGAACCCAATTGACACAGAGCTGCGCAACTGCACTGTAGATTTTCTTGTCTGTTGATGACGCTATCCTCAGAACTCGTGTGGTCCACTTCTTCCCAGCCAGCTTAGGGTGCACTTCAGGGCAGTTGACAGCAAGGGCATCAATTATCTGTACAAAAGTATTCTGCTGTCAGCCCACCAGATCCACAAAGATTGTGGACAGCAGCAATGTGCACCGTTTAAATGACCATGGCTCGAAATCCATAATTGCACCTAATCTGCCACATGACAAGCAAGGCTTGCAATGTTAGCTGGTTCATTCATCTGTATGCCAGGATCGACTGTGTGCCTCCATAATGGACTGCAGCAAAGAGCAAATTTCTGGTTCTGGTTGGTGGTTTCTGGTTCTGATTTCTGGTTCACGTCAAAGCGTCAGGCGCTCACTGTGAGTGCCTTCAGAACGACGAACGGGCTGGAGGACTTCATGTAGGGCTTCACCAGCGACAGCGCCTCTTCCGCAGGCACCGCCCGGTTCTGCACCAGCGACGCCATGGCCTGGACGCCATCCCAGTTGATTTCACCCAGCCTAGATCGCCAGAACGCATTCCCGTCAGTCGACACTCTTCGATCACGGCAGGTTGCGTCTGGGAGCAGCGCGTCCGCATTGCCGCCAAAGCCAGCGCCAACACTGGCAGCACGCGCAGCGCGGAACCGGCCTGCGGGCCGGGACAGCGGCCACAGTATACGGTGCCTCCGAGCCCTGCGCTTGGGCCGCAGTCGGGTGGCTCTCAATACGGTACGCGCCGTCGAGGTACAGCAGCAGGGCCCTGTCAGCGCCCGCGCCATACTGGGCGTCTTGGACCGGCGGCCCCACGTACCTCTCGAGCGCCTGCTCCAGGGCGTTTGCGTACGCCGTCCTGCCCGTCCGCTGCGGGCACACAAGCAATCACACCTCAGCCAGCGCCCGGCGATAGAAGCCCTTCGGCCCGCGCTGTCGCCGGTTACGGACGTGGTGGAGCTCGCACGGGCCCAGGCGGTGCGGGACCCTTAGGACGCATTGGGGCCCCCCCATTGCTGAGCCAGGGCTTGTCCCCGACGGCTTCTAGGTTGGCCCGTGCCGCCCAGCCTATTGACCACCGTCCACCAGGCCGACAGTGCCGGTGTGACATTCGCGTCGCAAGGCTGGCAGAAAGGGGCGCTCGCCGGCAGCACGCCGTCCCTGGGCGGGCGCCATTGGCTGGCTGCCGCCCGAGGCAGAAAATGCCGCTGCAGCGCATGGAACCCGCCGTCGGTTCCCGAGCACGCAGAGACGGCGGGCGGCGCAGCAGGGACGACCGGGCCTGACCGGGGCGGCCGCCGTGACTAAACCTGAAGATCTGGGGCAAGGGTGTCGGCACCCCAGCGCAGGCAACGGTGCCAGCTGCAGGGCAGGCGGGGGCCCACCCCTGGGCGGCGCACCTCGTCGATCTCCTTCTGCCCGATAGAGCTGCGCCTCCTCAAGTTCTGCTTTAAAGAATTCAACCCGTAGGCTCCGGGCGGCCCGCCATTGGGCGACACACGGACGGGGTCCACCCCGCCAGTGTGCAGCCCGTGGCCGTCCGAGCCCCGTACAACCATTCAGAGTCTGGCTACAGAGGACGCCCGGCCCGCCCTGCAAGCATTCTAAACGTCCACAAAAACTCGTGTGGGCCGTGAACCCATGACGTGCGCTGCGGCGCCAACGTGAGGTGGCGAGTCGCGAACAGTGAACGAACAGCAGCAGGTTGGGGTTTGTGCCAGAGCCGAAGGCAGCGCACGCTTTTTTTTTCCATTATCCGTAAGCCTTTACGTTTTTTCTCCTCCGCGGGCCAATGCCCGCCTCGAATTCGAGATCGTCCCATTATTTTGCCCAGGCTTCCGCAGCAGGACGGTTGGGCGCCCTGGTGGGCGGCGGTGCCGCCAACCTGGCTACGCTGGTTCCTATTTTGGGCCACCGGTGCGTGGCATAAAATTACTGGCTGCACCAAATCGGTGACTGCTTGCACCAAGTCACGTGCACATCATGTCCAACTCCGTCAAAACTAACCTAACCTAAAACCTAAAGCCTAAAACCTAAACCCTAAACCTAAACCTGTCCTAACCCTAACCCTAACCCTAAAACTCGCCCTGGAACTAAACCTAACCCTTAAATTGAGGTTAGGACAAAGTGTGCACGTGACTTGGTGCAAGCAGTCACCGATTTGGTGCAGGCAGTAATATTATTTCCCGGTGCGTGCCCTGGCTGGAACTACGGACGGCATATGCCCCTTTGAGGGCCCCCCCCAATTCCCAGCAGCAGACATCCGGTTGCCGCTTGCGATGCTGAATGCACTGCACAAGCAGTGTGCCTGTTTTGTGCACTGCACAGCTGAATTTGTACGCTTCACTGTACGGGACCTAATGTCTCTCAAGGTCTTGCGGCCAAACAATGCTGGGCTAGCATTCTCAGTATGCCGTCTGCGGTGGGCAGGTGAGCCTCTGTATGCCGTTACAGGCAGGATTTCGGTGGCACCATAGCCACGACCCCCAGCAAGTTTGACTAATCTATTGACTCACTGTACAGTTAGAGTACAGAGAGGGTGGCGTATGCCACCAACATCAGGCTCCCAGGTGTCTGGGAAGGTGGGCAACTAGCACAGGCTGGCCATTTCTGGACATTCGAGGGGTGAGTATTGGGGGGGCGGTTCCGAGCCACGCTTCGGTCCATGCTATGGGCTAACAGAAACCATTGGCAGAGCAAGACAGCAGTGGGCGGCGTGCGCGAGCTGTTAGTCCACAGCAAATGACGTTACAATTCAAAGCGGAAAATAGATGACTGATATGGTGGGCACGTCCGAAGCTACGTTCCCGCCAAAACCCTTGCTAACTTGCTTACAATATTCCCACGAAACTTACGTCACCAACATGTGCTACACCGCCGCTACCTATCGCAGACCAAACGGTCCGTTGGTGAACGTCAAATCCCACAGTTTCAGCAAAACCTTCCAGGTTTTGAAACCTTGCTGGAAGGCTTCCAGTCAATGGGCACGTCGCATTGACTTTATTTTCCTGATTCAAGCAGAACAGGTGCAGCAGAAATCCGGAGCTGGTCCCAAAGTCCCCTGCAGCAGAACCAATACTTCGTGCGCATCGTTCAAAACGCTATGGACCCAAGATCGACAGTCTTTTCTCAAGGGCCTCCAAAACTTCTTCCACCATGAAATAGGCAACTGTGCTGTTCTTGTAGTATTCATAGTCGTGAGCGTGAGTTGGATATATTAACTTCATTTCCGTGTCGATTTGCCTGATCGTCACTCCTGCTTGCACCCATCGGCGGAGCAATTGCGGCCTCGGCACACAGAAGCCACACCTGCACAACATCTCGTATCAGCCGCCAAGACAATCCAAAGGCACGCATCGATTGAAGAAACGACGAATTGCATATCCGCCAGTAGAAACGGTGAATGTTCGAACGTCGTGCGCTACAGTGAACTTCTGCTGCATTCTTTCAATTTCGTTCCAGTGTTTTGGCTTTCAGCAGTTCAAGTGGGATCATCCATGCCGGTCAGGCTGCTCACGGAAGAAACTGCGCGCTGCTGCTGTCGCTTGTGCATGGCAAGGGCGAGATTGTCCCGATATTGCCTGAAGGACCATCGTGTACGGTTCGCCTGTGCCTAAAGCTGTCACACTGTTGGTAGAAGTCACGTTCCACTGCCTGGGGGGGCGCTGCTGTTCGTGGCAACTGCAACATCAGCAGGAATGCTTCTGCGTTTGGTACGGCTCCTTGCCGGCAGATCGCGTGCAGTGTGTGTGCAGAGCTTGCGCGGAGCCTCTTCCAGACCAGTGCGCTCACAGCTGGACAGCGATGGCAGCGCGGTAGAGTGGACATACCACTGGAGTTGCGTGGCGATTTGTTTCTGCTTTTCCTTTTAAATTACCTGATGTCATTTTGTATGGCATGTTTGCACAACGCATACAGCAATCCGACGGACATGTTGAGGCGATCGATGGCGGACCAATGGATGATCTTTCCTTGTTCCGCATTATCGTCTGCCCCTTCTCCACCTGCGGCCCCTTCTTCGTCTGGAGCGACCTGAAGTTCCTTTAAAGACAATCACACCAAGGCAATCACGATTCTGCAGTATCTCTGTGGGGCGTGTCTGCGTTTTCCGTTTTCTTTTATTGCACAACATTAGAAGGGCGCTGAGCGCTAGTCGCCAAACAAACTGTAAAAGACGCATAACGCCACAACAGGGAATCCCTTGAAATATAGTGATGTGTATCGGCGTGTGTGGTTTTCTTTAGATCTGCGACCTTCCATGATGTGTTGCGCATACTTGAGGAATGAGAACAACATACCGCTTGTGTTTTAGAAATCTCAAGTTGCAATTCCTGCGACAACCTTTGAAATACGGGAAATTTCAGCACAATGCCCTTTAGTCCTTGTGGCAGCATGTCACCTCTGATGTATATTCGTATCCTGGATGGACTCAAGCATGGAAGCAGACCTCAGATGTAGAAAGGCTCCGTGCGAGCCATGTTACATAGTGCGACCAGGCTTGGTTTGTACGTTTACGTTTACGTTTTTACTTTTACGTTTTTACGTGTAAAAACGTAAATTTGCAAGGGCCTATTTTTACGGCTATTTTTATGTTTTTACGGCTACCTGGGACGCCCAGATTGCACGATAAAGTTGCGTATAATGATCAGTCCTCCGCCATATCCAGCACCCGCAACACAGTGTCCACCTCGCCCTTGGCAAGGGCGATGATGGTGTTTAACAAAAACTCGTTTTCTGCCCCTTCCAGGGCGTCTGGCTGCCACTCTCCGGACCCCGAAAATCTGTGTGTACTGTCCTTATGTACACAGGGCAGTTTTTACGTTGTGTTTACGTATTTTTACGCACTTTTAGGCATAAAAACGTAAATACGATCAGTTTTTAAGGCGTAGAAACCAAGCCTGAGTGCGACGGTAAGTGGAACGGCACATTCTCGGGCCCAATTCTTGTTCAACCCGCGTCCCCAACACGCCCTACCTCAAGGTCAGGTCTCACGGAGTTGTGCGGTATTTGCAAACCCCACAGTTCAATCCGCTCGTCTATATCAAGAAGCTGCACAGGGTCGTCGTAGTCAAATATGCAGGAACTTATCATGTTGGTGCCGTAGGTCGCCATGAGGCATCCCACGGCCGGGCCGACGGCTGTCGCCATGGGGATGTCATTGGACACCACCGCCTCAATGGCGGCCTCAATGTCTGTGCATGCGCTTGTCTCGAGCCTCGCCAGGAGGTACGTCATCTTGTCCGATGCTGGCAAAGGTGTGTTCTCGGGGAGGAGCGACATGACATCTTTGTAGTCTTCCTTGCTAGATGCCTTGAATATGGATATGAGATCGTCCTTATTCACCCTTCAGGACGGAAAGCAAAAGATTTTCGATGACTGTTTGCGGGCACCTTCTGCTTCTACGGAACATGCTCCATTTACCAAGCTCTGTTCATGTACAATCCGTTGCCAAGCACTGATTGAATGCACTGATGCCCAATCGAAGACCACTATCACAGTACATACCATACATACAAGTATCACATGCGTCCATTGATGCAAGTATCCGTTGCGTAGGGTACTGATTTCACACATGGCATATTGAAAGCCCCTGGCCAACAGTCTCTGCAAGTGATGAGATTCCGCGCACCGGCCATCGCGCATGAAATGGACTGCGACATTTGGAAAGTGGGTGGGCAACGCAGACTTCCTTCCTCGCCCTTGCTCAGAATGCAGCAGCGATAGCACCAAATTCGTTGGCACCCAGGAGGCCACTGCACAGCGGCACCACTGCTAGGCTTCTCTTCATAGAATGCACATGTCACAATGGAACTGATTGCCATCATTAGGGCTGTCGGTATGAAGCGCAGATCTTCAAGGTATGCAGAGGTTCTCGGGATGCACACTCATACATAATGTAAAGAAAAAATACAGGATTGCACATAAATGTTTGTAAAGGATATTGCATGTAGCGATCGTTCGTAAGCTGCTGCCGACTCAAAACTTCGCTAGAATCGACGCATCCGCAAAATGTT